TCCTGTGGATGCTGCGGGTGAACTGCCCCGCAGCTTGGGGCAGCATAGCTGGTTCTCAAGTGTATTTGCTGGGGATCTGAGCCACTTACCCAACCCTGTGGGCTTCATTTATACTTCTCCCATGTGGCAGCGAGTTTTTGTGTCAGCTCTGCCCAGCTGGAAGCAAAGAGGCTTCTCTAGAGACCCTGCCTGCTGTTAGAAAGCAGAGAAACTAGAGCAAGCTCCTGCACGGGGCAGGCGCAGATCCCGGTGATTCCTGTGCACAGCCTGCCCTCTCCCTGGCCAGAGCTGCTATGGGGAGGCTTTTCACCTAATAGCCTTGAGAGAGGCTGAGGAAAGGCTCTACCTGCAAACACAGGAGCGTTTCCAAGGCTTAGCCCCTTATTAGTTTGCTGTGAGCTTAACCAGTGCTTCTTAACAGGCTTTTCTCCCCTATTAGTAATTGCCTCCTTCCTCCTGCTGTGGCATCCTAATAATGACATCAAGCCCAGCAGAGCTTGGATGTGTCTGTCCATCTCCTTTCTGTGGAGGAGCATTGTGCAAAAGGATCCAGTGTTTGGTTCTCCTGGTTTTCTTTAAATAGAGGAAGGCTTAGCCCTTCTGCTTAACCTGACCCTGGTTTATTTTTGAACCACACGAAGCAGCGGGGAGGACAGCAGGAGCCATTCGGGATCCTCAGAGGGGATTTGGAAAAGCGTTTCAGTAAGAAAAGGGTTGCTTTCTAGAATCCTTAGATTTCGTGTGTGTGTGGGAGTAATAGTCATTAATGATTTTAGGTTTCTCTACACTCCTCCCACAAAAGCATGTGTTAAGGCACAGGAACCAGGCTATAGAAACATCAAGCGCCTTCCCTGGGCTGCCCTGCTGTGAGATGGATACTGCCTCAAACCAGAATTACCCGGTGCCTTCCCATGCTGCTGCAAGTCTCCTTTTATGTCTTTGAACTGCTGTGGCTGGTGCCTTGCTCAGGTGGACAGTGGAGATTCTCAAAGAGCCCTGAAAACCAGCAGGGAAGACGCTGGGTCCTGGGCAGTGGAGCCAAGCGCTGCCATTCCAGGCTTCTGTCAGCATGATGGGAAGGGGCCATGTTGCCCTGTCCTGTGGGAAGGGTGATCCCAAGGGAAGTGTCACAGAGTAGGTGTCTGGGTGCTCGGGATCCATCCAGAGCTGGATAAACACCTTCCATGAGGTGCTGTTTCTTGCTCTCATGGGGGGATCAAAGATAAAAGGCTTCATCAGGGGATCAGGGGAACACTGAGGAGTGTCGAGTCCTGCTCCAAGAAGCAGCAGAGGGAGCAGCCAGGCATGTGTCTATTGCCCAGCGCTGGGAATTCTGCCATTCCTCCCTTTATTCTTGTCATCTGCTTCCAATGCTTTCCCCCCCTGCAGCCACAGCCCTGCCTGAAGAATGCTGTAGGCAGAGTCTTCTTAGGGTTGTACCTGCCAGCTCCTTTCTCCTCTCCTTTCGGTAGCTGAACTCTTGCATCACACTCATGGTTCTTGGTTTTAATTCAGGACAAAGCCACATTCTCCTCTTTGCTTCCAGAGGCTTTTCAAACCTCCTCATGAGATCTGTGCAGTGCAGCCTCAAGCTGTAAACTGAAATGGATTCCAGCCCTCAGCCTGAGAGTTTATCAACTGCCAGGAGCTGACCCCTGACTTACAACGCAAGAGTCTTGAAGCCTACTCTTCCCGCAAGGATTGGAATAGGAGGCTGTTCCATGGAAAACTGAGCTCTTCACTTCCCCTCTGTGAATATTTTGTGCTCCTGGGGGGAAACAAGGGGCAGTGAAGAGAAGCTGCCCAGAGCCAGGGAGTTACCAGCCTGCTCCCTATAGACCATTCACTATCTCCTCTACCCCGTGCTTTTGCTGAAGGGCTTAATGCTCATACACTGCATTTTGTAGCTAATTCACTGACCCTGCTGCAGCACTTAAAGTGATGGAGTGGATGCAGAATTCTACCTCTGTCCCTCGTTTCCAAGGCAACCATCCTGCCTTCCTTCTCCACAAGTGTCACACTTAATTTGTTCAGTCATAGACACGATTGCCAGAGTTGATAGCAAGAAAGGGAAGGTACTTCCACCTCCCACCTTTCATTAGTGGAGGTGCAGATTAACCTGCCAGGCTCCTGTCTCCTCCTGAGGCCCTGGAGCTGCCGTGCCACCCTCCCCAGTGCTTTTATAGAGTCACAGACTGGGTTGGGGTGGAAGGAACCTTAAAGCTCATCCAGTTCCAACCCCCTGCCACGGGCAGAGACACCTTCCACTAGAGCAGGTTGCTCCAAGCCCCTGTGTCCAGCCTGGCCTTGAACACTGCCAGGGATGGGGAGTTGTTTGTAACCCATCCCTGCTGGCAGGGTGGTGGCCTGCAGCTTGGCATCTGGTTTCAGAGCAAATTGTCCCTGTACAAAACAAGCAAACTGAAGTATTTGTGACCTAGAATGGGAAGTGAATTAGCTGGGAGTGTTTGGAAGCTGCAGCTGTGCTTACTGCTGCTTATTTTAACCTTGCTTATACCAGAACTTGAAAAGAGCAGAGTTTGTGCCGTTGGCTCAGAAAACATCTGTGAAACTGGGAACAAATGGTGAAACAGGGCACTCTGTGGGCAGCACTAATCCAGCCCATGGGTTGGGGTCAGTGATGAAGGGTGAGGATGGACTCGGTCTCATCTGCATCGCTGAGCGATGGGAGAGTGGCCGCTTTCTGGTTTCGTCAGTGGGCAGCAGCTTCCTGAGCCAGATGAGGGTGTTTGATGGAGCCAGTGGTCCTCAGCTGAAGAGCAGATCTTCACTAATAACATTTAGCACCAGTGCAGAAAGCAGAATATCTGTCCCTGCTGGAAAATTGCTTGCCGGGAAATACTCTGCTGCTCCATACAGAATCGCTTGAGGCTCCTTCCAAGAGGGCTTTGATTTTTCTTAGAACTTCAATGAATTTCTCCTCTCAGTCTATAGCCTCATTACCATACATGCATATGCAAGTGTTTGAAATCACCTCCCAGAGGATGGAATCATTATGACTCGAGCACAGCGACTCAGGTTTCTGCTGTTAATAAAAACCTATTTTTACTCTCCTGGTAAGTAGGACAGAAGGAAAGAAAGAGGCAGAGCTGAAATACAGCAAAATAACAACACCAGTTGCTGGAGAGACTTCCAGGCTTTTTCTCCCTTTTAATGCTCCTTTTAATGGCAGTCATTCTGATCTCATTTGTCAAGGTCCTCCATCCTCCTTAGATCCACGGTGTTCAGTTTGGATCCCTGCAGCTCCGGTGGCTGTGTTGGCTCCGCTGCCCTGCACTGGGTGATCCTGCCATTTGCTTCCTTGATGAAAGCAGCCTCCCAAGGCAAGGAAATGCGATGATGGGATTAGGAGTGCTGTGTGCCATGCCCATCACTAAGGAAGCCAGCCAGGGGCCTTGCTAAGACTGCTGGCCAAAATCTGATCCTGCTGGGCCAGGAGCGGGGCTGACCTTTCCCTTCACTCTGGTAATGCCCTTTCATGAACCAGAGGTGGAACCTGACAGATCGGATCTGGATGGAATGTGATTCCTTGCATGGTGTTGACATGTGATTAACCAAAACACGTTTCCTTCTGAAGCATCAGGCTATAGGGACTGCCTTGCTCTTTCTTCCTGCAAGTGGCAGGTTGCTGCTGTCTTCTTCACTTTAAAACTCAATTGCTACAGACAAAACAGGTGAAAGATGCTAATTGTGAAGTAGGTCTCTGGATGAGGGTTCACTCCTCTGAATCCAGGCTGATTTGTCCTGATAGCTACATGTTCATCTCCTCTTTGCTTTTGCTGGATAGTTTTGTTAGAATGCCACTGTTTCTTCAGGCAATGTCAAAGCAATGTAAGACTAGAATGAAATTAGGTTTACAGTTGTCCTGTGCAGAAGGGGCATCCAGCCCTTCCTAAAATGAGTTTGGAAGTGGAGCGATGAAAGGGGTATGGCTCAGGGAAGGGAGTGGGATGTGTCTAGGGGTGTGGGCTGGAAAGGCAGGTTAGAAGTACCCAGGTCTGGAGGAACTTGTCTTCCCACCTGCATTCAGAATAGAAGATCCCATGGAGTATTCCAGCAGTGCTTCCAGGAAACTCGGTGCCCATGTGCAGCACTGGCAGATGTCCCAGAGACAGTCCAGTGCTGGACCCCTGCTAGGAAGGATGATAAACATGGAAGAGGGCACCCAGCTGGCTTCTGAGATGCTGATGTGATGCCTGTTGGACTCTTGATCTGGTTAAGAACAGCTTTCAGAGCTGACACCCTTTGCTGGGCAGATGGTAGCACTCCAGCTACTGGGTTTAACTGTAATAGAAGTCCCTTGAGGCAGAACTGGGATAAAAAGATAAAGCAGAAGCATTTCTGCTGTGGCCTTGTTGAAAACTGCCTGTTAAAGGAGCTTGGGAGTAAATACCACTCTCTTTAGACTGACATTCTGCAAACTTTGTTGTCTTGTGCTGGATTAGCCTCAATTTTGAGAGAGGAGAAGTTCCTTCTGCTTGCTTTGATGCTAAATCTTGGAGCTCTAGCAGCTCTGCTGATGTGTTTTGACTCATGGAGGGTCTGGGCTTGAGCTGATGATGGGGAAAATGTTCCTGTGCTCTGTTTCCAGGCCCTGAGCTGCCTCTTGTAGTTGCAGGTGTTCCTGTGGTGCTGTCAGCTGGACACTCACCTTTCTTGACGCTCTCCTCCCTTGTATTACACGTTTAAAAAAACCCCTGCAGTGCCAGAAAACCACCCAGGAAGCTTTCCATAAAGAACCTTTGAATGTTGGGGTGGAATGGGACCCTCCTGTGGGGTCAGGGGGTTCTCTGTGACTCCTGGGCAGTGAAGCTGTGTTGCTGACACGCTGCTCTTGGCCTCTTTGCAGTTGGTTTCGTAAGAAACACGCTCAGGCAGAGGCTCTGGTGCCCATTCCTCCCAGCCCAGAAACAAAGGACCGGTGGAGAAGCATGACGGCGGTGCCTTATCTGGAAGATCTGCATGGCTACAATGAGGAAGAAGATGATGACTTGTATGACATTGAAGATGATATCATCTACACTCAGGACTTCACAGTACCAGGTAGGAGAGAATGGTGCTGGGATGGGGAGGGCAGAAGTGGCTTGTTTTCCATCCATTTAAAGCTTTTCAGGAAAGGCCTTGAGGTCCAACTAATCCTCTCAGCAGCGGAGGAGACTATTGATTACTGTGGGGTGAGTCACACCTAGTGAGTAGCTGTGATGCTCCGGATGCCTCCGTCCTTTATTTGATCAACCAGGATGCCCCTTCCTGTGCATTACCCATATGCCCATTTCCTTCCTTCATCCAGTAATAGCTGCTCCTCCTGGACAATGTTGTTTAGCACATTTAATTCTTTTGCTAGACTGAGTTATTTTGGAGCAGAGCCCTAAAATGACTCAGTGTTCAGAGTAGATGGCACATCTGGAGAAAGAAGGCTGCTTGTAGCCTTACGCCGAGCCCTGTTTTCTGCTCCAGCCTTGGTAACTATCTGCTTACAGAATTGCTTCTTCCTTTGTTAGGGATTTCCTGTTGTTTTAAGGTAAGCCGACCAGTAAGTACGGGGGGGTGGGGGTGGTTTTAACCATGCAGCTCTTACAAAGAGGTGGTAATCAAGTAGCCGTTCTTTGGCCTCGCAGTTCCTGTAAGCCACGTAGCTAGTGAGGGCTGACAGGCATGGCTGTGGTAAGACTAAAGACAAAAGCTGCTCAGTCTCAGTCGTTGCAGCAGTGCTGTGTGATCAGGCAGGTTCTTTGTCTCACTGCCTCCATCCACAGAACATGAGTTGTAGATTAACTGCTCCAGCCTGGTTCAGTTGTTTTGGAGGGCAGGTGTCAACTACTGTTTGTAGGGAAGCTGATGGACTTACCACCCTGTGTTAGAGGTTCCTGGGACTGGCCTTCCCTTCTGATGAGGAAAGCCCTGGCTTCTACAGTTCAAACTTTCTTTGGGCAGAACCAGGTCTGGCTTCCCAGGCTCACCTTTGTGCCACCCCGGGTGACAGTCCCCAACAGGGTCCCGGGGGAAGCTGCCAAGATGTTGGTGTCTCAGCAAAGTGAAATCAATCCATTTCCAAGTGCTGACTCCCTGGTGACAGTTGGGGAATTATAACCCTCTCTAATAGGAGGAATGTCCCGGTGCCAGCTGGGTGACCCGCAGAGCTCTGTCCTTTGCTCTCTTCTTACATCACATGGACTTTAGTGCTGGAATCTGACCAGGGCCAGGCCTTTCCTCATAGCTCAGTGGAGGCTTGTGAAGGGAGGGATCCTCTTAAAGAGGCTCATGGAGCACGTACCTGATTGCTGGGGCCCTTCTAAGTGCAGAAGCAGGAGAGATGAGAACTTGCCAGAGGCACTGCCTGTTGTCAGGGTTCGCTGTTTCCCTTTGCAAGAGCTCTTGCTGGGAACAGCCTGTGCATAAGTGCCCAAGAGATGATTCTGCCAAAGTGCTGGGGCTGGGAGCCCCGTCAGAGGCAGTGGGGCCTGAGCACAATGATGAGGCTTGAAAATCCGTAACCAGCATCACTTACATCCCTCTCTAATGCTACATTTTCCTTCCAAACTGGCTTCAAGAGGCAGAGGAAGGTATGGTCGGTCTGTGTGTAAGCTCCCTTGGAGGGCCAGATGATAACCTGTGAGAGTGGATCTGTTGCTCTTAGTGCTTGACTGTCTCTCAGGCAACCTAAGAGCAGAGTCTGTTGCTGCTTTTTGGGTGTCAGTCTAGAGAACAAGCCTGTGCATCTCTCTAACGCTGCTCTGTTGCTTCCCTGTGCGTTCCCAGCTGCGGAGGAGGAGGAGGAGGAAGCTGAGGCAGGGCTTAGCGGACAGAGCAGAGCACTGAGCAGTCCTGGAGAGCTGTTTGGAGAGGAAGCCGTACTCCCACCGGCCATGAGTGCAGAAGAGGAGAGTGAAGCTTAGCCTAGGCCCCAGAGCCACTGCCCTCTTGGGCTTCCCTTGGCCTGAGCTAATGGCAGTGGCTGGAGAATGCAGGATCATCTCCTTGCTTCCCTCAGGATCCTCCCTATCTCCAGGACAGTTGCATTGTTTCCAAAGCAGATAACTTTGTTCTGCAAGGGAATCATTCCTTAGCTTTTGGGGTTTGTATTTTTAAGCAGAGGGCAGTTGGTAGTTACAGGAGCTCAACACACTGTAGTGAGATGGTTTGTGACCCCTTGCAGAGTGGGTTACTGGTGAAATCCAGCCTGTTCCTGCAGACCTGCCCCACGAATGCTTTTGGACAGAAGATGTGTTCCTCCCTGTTCTCACTCTAGTTGAAATGTTCTGTTTCTTTTTAGCTTCCCCAGTGGGGATGAGCCTGCTTTGTGGGATGTAAAAAGCAGAAGCTGGGGCAGACTCCCCACACCAGAGTGGTGTGTCCAGCAGCCCAGGATGGAGCTGCCTGTCCCAACTGCTGCTGAGGGTCTGGGGCTCTTGGTGCTGTGGTTGGGTGCTGCACATGCTGGTGCTCCCCCAGCAGCCCTGTCTGCCAGTGAGCTGGATGTACCCACACAGGCAGGTGACTCTGGTAGTGGGAGATCATCTCCAGAACAGCAATACCACCTATTGCATACTCTTAATGCAAACAGCAGTATTTAAACCCAAATAAGAACTGTCATTTCAGAAATGACAGGCAAATTGCTGGGAGTCGTTTTAAGTTCTCATGTGTAATTTGTGCTGTTTCAGAGGGATTAAAGACCTAAAGGTTAATTGTGGCCCCATAGACCAGCACTTCCCACCTTAGTTAGCCAGGGTGGGTGGGCTGGACATGACTTTGGTGTAACTGGTATGTTGTGATGGGTTTAACCTTTGGGTTGTTTCAAGAGATGTTGCTAATGGCTTAGGTAGATAGGGAAGTGACACATGGTTTCTGTGTGTCCTCCTCCCAGCCCTTGGGTGTTACACTCTTGCAGTGTTGGTGACTGAGCTGGATGGGTCCATGAAGGGTGGGTTCCTTGGGGGCTGTCAAACACAGCAGTACAGATGTGGGCTACAGCTCAGAGCTCCCCAGGGAACCACCCGGAGGAGGAAGAGGCTTTCTCTGTGCTGGATGTTCTGGTGCTGCTCCTGTGCAGCCATCACTGCTGGGCCCTGGCTTCAGGAGGTTGTTGGCTCCACATGTGGCTCTTTTGCCGCCCTTGATTTAGGAGCATATTTGAGCATGGGACAAATTCTTCTCCCTCAGTCAAATCACCTCTGGCTGGGCTTGAACTAGAAGGGCAGAAAGCATATTCCAGTGTGCCCCAAACCCAGCAGGAACAGATTTGGTTAAGCACGGAACAGCTGAGGTCTGGTCCACGGTGGTGGATCATTCTCCCTGCTTTACCCTGCAACTTCTGCTGTGACAGAGGTTCTCAGAGCTTATAGAGATCCCTTAAAATAAGGCTGTTGACCAAAGAAAAAGGGTAAGAGGAAGGAGGGAGGTGGGGGAGGAAGGTGCAGTTTGCAGGTTCAGTCTTTGTGGAGGACAGAAATCCCTCCCCAGAAACAGAACCCTCCTGAGAAGCTCCTGGAGGAGCAGGGTGAGGAGGGAGCCGTGGGTACAGCACAGTGGAGGATAAATGTTCATCTCTTTACTCGAGTCTTCCTTCCGCTCAGCTCCAGGCCCCTGTTACATCTCAGAGACACCATATGAAAATAAAAGTGTCAAACCCCTCTAACTGCCTGTGGATTCAGTTGTGGTTCTGCTGGGCAGCGAGAGCAGGAGTAAAGTGACTCATAGGTGGGTGTTGGGGAGGGAGGAGAAGGAACCTCATTAAATCCTGCAGAGGAAGAAGGGGCTGAGGAATGTGCTTGGATGTTAAAGGGTTATTTAAAGACTCCTGCAGAGAGAGCTGGTTCAGTGGTGTTCAACACCTCATCTCAGGGCAGTGCTGAGGAGGGGAGCGCTCTGCCCCCGTGTCCTCTCCAGAAGGATCTCCTTTGGGAGAGGCAGTAGATGGGTGTAAGCATCTTGTGCCCCTTTCACATTTAGAAGGCTGTGCTCTGCTTTTTCCTCCCTACCATTAACCCCTTCCTGCTTCCAGCTCAGGTCTCCTGCCGAGGCTCCATCCTTTGCTCCCTCGGCTTCAGCTGGAGGCTGTTGAGCAAAGCCAGGGCTGGAGGCTTTAGGTAAAGCTGGTGCTTGAGGAGGTGCCTTTGTAGCTGCAAGTCACAAACGTGTGTTTGTGCCTGACAAACACAGCGACTCCAAAAGCTCTTCATGGGTTTATAGCAAAACCTTTTTTGTGCCTGAATGAGCTGGATGGAGCCGTTAAGAAATGTGAGAGGTGGTGAGGATGAACACGCACGTTCCCGGTGCCTCTCTCAGCCTCCTTTTATCCCCGGTATTTTTAGCAGCCGGTAATGGCAAGGTAGGATGTAGCTGTTCCACCAGCCAGCGCTGGGTCACCGGCTTCCTCGTGGGCAGACAGTTGCCAAGACTTCAGCCCGTGTTGAGTTCTTATTTTCATTAATTTGAACGTCAGCAACTGTCACTAGTGAAGAGGTAAAATTAGCTCGTGCCCTCCCTCCGTGCTGTGTCCATAATAGACTCGGGGACTGTGCTGAGGCAGAGCGGGAGGAGGGAAGAGCCACACAAAAGGCAGAGGAACTGTTTGGATATGTTATTTCTCTCCCTCCCCAGTCAGAAATGGGAATTGGCTTGGCCCGAGTTCAGCTGAGGGAGGGGAAGGACGAGCCTCCAGCTCTGCTCCAGTGGGGTTATCTGAGGCCCTGCAGATGGGTGCTGGGATGGGGGGACAGCAGGAAGGACCCTGAGCTCAGGGTGGGGGCTATGGCCTGACCCATGCTCTGGGTCCCCAGGGGAACACTGTGACCAATGGGATCGGGAGCGGGTCGGTGGCAGGTCCAGGCGTGTAGAACTGGTGTCTGCTTCATGCTCCTGCTCCTCCTGCCTTGCCGGGCCTTTCCAGTAAACCCTCGAGGTGAGGACATGCCCGAGGTACCTCCCTGCTCTGTGGGGAGCTGTGCGAGGAGCTGGATCCGTGTTTGTGGGGAGGGAGGTGCACGGGCTGGACACCCCCCGGGACACTGTGGGTGCCACCGGCTCCAGCAGTGACACGCTCG